TTTTTGCTCTCAGGACTCAACTTATAGTCTCTTTCTTTTTTTACTCTGATTTGAATCAATGATTTTTTTTAAACAAATCATGTGATATAAATCGTCAATTTTACACGCTTGATTCAAATCGTTGACATCCAGATCGATTAATCAGCTTTTTCATGAAGTAAAGGCGGGCGGTACGCAATGCTAACCACATTGTCACTATTATGACTGTTGATCATTAAATTGTGCTAGCTTAACCTTCATGACTTTCAGGCACTCAACGGGCTATTGTGGGAATGCTTTGCTTTAATAATTGTTAATACTTTACTTATCTTTTATTTTTTCTTAATTTTTATTATAAAAATATTTAGTTAAATTTTTAAAACATATTTCCCTAACATTTATACATACTTTTCAATGAAAGTCTTTTATAATTAATTTTAATAGATGCAGAATTTTTCTTATTTAGATTACGTATAGTAATTAAAAAAAATTTAAGAGGGCAACTGAAATGGCAATTTTTAATTTTTTTATTAATATAACACTGGTGTGCAATTCATCTTTTACATAACTTTTTTATGGTTTTAGTGTTATTCATAATTTTTCTGATAAAAACAAAATATTTTGTTTTATTTTTAAAATGAATATTAATATTTTTACATGCTGCACAATTTGGAATTCCAGTTTGCCTGCCATGCGATAATAATTTATTTCAACCAATGCATACAATTAAAATTTTAGTGAGTTAACATAGCATAATAAAATAATTTAAATTAAAGTAACAAATTTTGGTTTTGTCATTTGTCACTTTATTTTATTTAAAAAAAGTATTACGAAACTCCATATAAGAACATACCATCAACCTGCTGTTCGAAACATTGATAGTTTTCGACTTAATTAACATTTTATATTAAAAAAATTAATTAATGTTCAAAAAAAAGAATTATTCACTTTTTATTTCTAGAAATCAAAATAAAATACATATAATAATAATAATAATAAATAGCTACTCGTTTGACAATCCTATAGCAATTATTTAATAATAGGGCCTATTATTAATGATATAACCTATAATAACCTAATTAATATTTTCCTGAACAATAAATGTACAGTAATAAATATAAAACTTCCTACATAAATATGAATATCCAAACAATTTTTCCTATATAATAAAAAAAGTGTTCTTCGACTTATAAATTTTATTTAAAAACGTAATTTTTAAGAAATAATTTTATTTTTGATCCAAAATTTTTTTTTTTACATGAAATGTACTTTCATATCTTTTTAAGTCTGTACAACTAAAATATGCACTTAAATTCGCGAGAAATTATTAGAAAAAAATTATTTTAAATCAATCATTATAAGTTACAGAGCGAAAATAAAATGCGATTTGTTTGTAAACATTGGCGTGAAAAAAATGCGCCAAATCCGATGCGCGTGCTCATTAAAAAAGGAGTACAAATATTAGAATATTTATATCAATATGAAATTTAATTGTAATGAAAATACCTATAAATGTTAACTACATTATAATCTATCAGTTTAAATAAAAATATAAAAAAATAATAGTTATTTTGCTAGTTAAAAACCAATTAAATTCATTTCATAACCTGACGTGCTAACATAAAAATCGCAAATAAATGTTTATAAGTGAATATAAAAGAATAAAAATGCTATTTGTGAAATGCAAAATGTCCTCCTTCAATGAATTTTTCGTCACACCCGTATCTACAGCAGTGTACTACCATTATTTTAAAATTTTATAGTTCAAAACGCAGCTCATCAATCCACCTCCATAGTAAAAGACTGGGGATAGGGTTTACTGGCGGAAAAATTGTCCAGGAATCACGTGACGATGTTCTTTGCAACGAGGGATGGGAGACTGGTTCTCTCTACCTAAATTACTCCTCTAAGGATTTAACAGTATGTAGGTATACTGTAGTTACATAAATGTGACCAAGTTTGGAGATTATAGGCTAATATTTAGGGAAAATATAGGCTTTTGTGTGTATACAGAGAAATATAACTAAATTTCAACTAATTTATAAAATTTATTTTTCAACAATAACTTTTTTTAGTATGTTTATTTACTATATCAAATTGTTTAACATGAGAAAACCCGAATTAGGCAATTTTTTCCTCACAAAACCAAGCAAGTATACGACAAACAAAACATTTAAACTCCATTTATATGAATAGGCATCATTGATGGCGATGAAATTAAACAAAATTAGAATGAGGCTAAAATTAAATAAGTTTCCTGGGAGTGACCGACTACTTAGAAAGCAACAGATTTGTAAATCAAGCTTGGCCAGTGGTCAGATGAGGTGCTTCGCTTACGCGTGTACGTTTGTATGTGCATGCACGTGTTTATAGTAATTTTGTTTTTTTAGTAATTGTACAAAATGTGGAATTACATATACATCAATCAAACATATTTTAAACTGTGTTGTTTTTATGTTGGTCGAGGTTTTTTTTCCAAGCCTCTTCCGTTTTTAAAGTTTCCGGAAGCTTATGAACTTTTGGAATTGGTCTAGTTGTGTTAGACAAGCGGTTCCCAAGCGGTGCTCTGCGGAACTCTAGAGTTCCGTGGAAGTTTCACAGGAGCTCCGTAGGGTAGGCTTTTGTAACCAGTTACAATTTCGAAGCATGTAATTGAATTTATATCCAATTACCCGTCATTTATTGAATATTTCCATTATTATAAGGAAATTATTTGGTTGAAATGCTAGTAAAGAAAGAAAAGCCAAATTAGAAATAATTCTTTTTCTAATACTTTTCTTTACTTTAATAATGAAGAATAATGAAAAGATTATACATTTATAAATAATCACATTAGTATTCGCATCGAATAAAAATAACCAACTTCAAACGTGTTTCGTTGGTAACGTTTTACACGTTTATTTTATTCCTTTCTCGTTTTTATTTTTACGGAACTCATTTCTAGCTCATTTATCTACATTTTTTGTGAAACTAAAACTAGAAGATAAAATCAAAATATGAACTATACAATATAGCGCTAAAGGCCAGTGAAATCAACTACATGACGCAAAATCCAATTTTAAGACTATTGATAAGACTATATGAAGAAAAAATTTTGTTCATTCTTCATTCATTCACTAATTTTTTTCAAAATAATTAATAAAATTTTAATCGTTGAATATTTTCAAAATGATTAAGAGTTTACGTTGATTTGTATGCCCAATATTGCTTATGAAATTTAGACATTAAGTCTCGGGGGTTCCGTCAAAAAAAGGTTGATCATTAAGGGTTCCATAGCCGAAAAAAAACAGGAACCATTGGTTTAAAACACTTGCAGATTAAAAACAACATAAATGAAATAACAAGAATAAGTGAATAGGCAGCATCGACTAAACTGGTTTAATGAAACACTATATAAGATAAGATACAAAATACACAGACAAATACAACCGTTATAAACCATAAAATTGCGAAACAATTGTTTGAAGATAAAAGATTAATACAATTAAAGCAAAAAGCTTTTTTAATTTCATTTCATGTCAATTCATTTCTTAAAACACTGTTATTTCTCATTTATTTATGCAATTAATGATAAAAGATAATTACTTTATAATTAAAGCAAAAAGCTTTTTAAGAATCAATTATTTAGTTTCAATTATATGATCATTCATTTCTTAAAACAAATAGACAGTTATTTCTCATTCATTTTTACAATTCAGGATTAAAGATAATTATTTTATAATTATAGCAAAAAGTTTTCTAAAAAACAATTTCTTAACTTTATTATATGTTTATTAAACACAATCTTGAACCGAGTTGTTGGAGTTATAGCAACAAATTCAGACACAGAAAAATTTTATTATTTTTCACAAGATTGAGCAACATCGGCATTTTTCTGGATAATCTGGCACGTAAGCTTCCTTTTCGTATCCATAGACATAAAATACTCCTTCGTATTCTTTCCATGTATAATTAACTGTTGCAACTGGAATCAGATACACTCGATGTCTCTGTAATTAAAGTAAAAGTTATTATTTTAAAAAATTAGTCCATATTAATTTACATTGGAACAAAATTTACATCGAGCTTCAAAATAATCACAAAACAATTTTACTAAACCTTTGACGCAGATGGAACACCGAAGACCCTTTTCTATTTTTTTCTGACTCTCTAATTATCACCAAAAAAATATTTTGGTACTTTTTAAATATAAAAAAAAACAGTCTAATAGTTACTAAAAAAGTATGTTAAATTATTAGAATTATATTTGTAATAAAATCCAAAAAAAGTAGTTGGAATTTTTTTTTTCCATTCATATTCGAAAATTTGTAAATAATTGATTTTTTATGTTAAAGAAATTTAAATGATGAGAAACTGTTTCTTTTAAAACTGCAAATAAGTGCAAATTTGAAATGTCATTATTTGGAAGTGAGCTGCGTTTGGAAAATTTCAGTTTTCACCCATAAAAAAACACGGGTGTTTCATGCTGTGTTTCATAACCATTAAAGTGCTAAATATAATATTTTTCACTTATTTTGATCTAAATTAATACAAAATAATGGAGAGAGAAAATTAGAAAAATATTTTTAATAAAAAAATCTGCGTCAAGAAGAGTTAATTGATGTTTATGTAATGTTTATCTTCCAAAAAAAGAAAAATAAACGAGTAATTTGTTCTCCTTTCGAATAGAAATGAAACTATTTAATTATTTAAATTCTAATTCGAAATTTAAACAAAAGGAGAGTTAGTACTGATCTTCAGACATAAGAGTACGTAGATGTAAGAAACAAAAATTAACTTTAAACAGATATTAACTTAAAAACTGCGCCTCAAGAATATTTTCATATTATTCCTTAAATGCTTTTCTAAAAATCTGCTATCTTTAGTATTTTGATAAAATTTAATATATGCAGAGAAGGTTTTCTGAAGCAGTGGCGTTGTTATTATCCTGTTTTAAAAACGCGTGTAGAGAGATATAACTAACAAATAAAGATCAAAGGAGAGAAAACGGTTAATATCGAAGAAAGCAGAGAATAACGAAATTAAAGGTTTGAGAATTATCAGGTTCAAGCATTTGATTAAAATCGTAAATCGTACATGAACGTAGCAAATATTTAATTACATCCTCTAAAAATTCTAAAACAAAATTTATAATTTTTGAGGTTGAGAAAAAAAAATTTTGAAATTTGGTTAGAAATAATATCTTTGTTTTCCCGTACTCCTATCGTTTTCCTCTCTCAGCTTTTCTTAGTTTTCCCCATCTAGGCGTGAATAGGAACCGGTTCAACTTCACTGTGTAATAACTCTCGGAGATATTTTCCGTGTTCCTGTTTAGTCAAAGCTTAATACTCTTCAAAATCTAACAAATGATGTCAATCATTTCACTTTTTTGGAGGGGAGGGGAAAGGACATAAAACGTTCTTACACCTTGATCTTCAAACGATAACTTGGCTTTAGTTGTTTCGCATATTGTTATCTCAATAAAAAATTTCTATTTTTTTTTCCCATTTGGTTATGTCTTAATGTTTATTTTTGAATCCAGTACTCCATGGCAGGGGAACACTACGGGGATATGGAACCCGTCGCGTCAAAATGCCCCACTTTCAAAATGCCCCACTTAACTGAATGGAACAAATTTCAGAGATTTCTTTTTATAAAATAATTTTGTTTTATTTTATAGCCGTCATTGAACAAACGACCCAATTTTGAGTTTACGACTGCCAAAGTTCACCTCCGTAGCTTTGTAATTTTGAACCCAACCCAGAACACAAGGGAACTCCTGGATCAAGTATTGGGAGAAATTTGCCTTCGTGGAAGACTTTTAGATGGAACTAACCCGCATTTGCGTTACATGGAGAGGAAAACCTCCCAGGGTTAGCTTGACGTTAAAAGGACTCTTACACATTATCAGTCTACCATTGAAGATGTTTTACGTCAGCACTGTGGTCGCTACGAGTTGGAAATCATACGAGCGGAATTTGTATCGACGAGCCATTACTGGGATTCAAACTTGTGTCACCTCTTTGAGAGGCAAACGCTCTATGCCCTGTGGCATTGTGGTTCTAGAAAATTTAATTGATAAAAATTAACTTTATCTTCAAATTTTCTCCAGCTGTTTAGTTGTTTAAATTGAATAGGACTTGCAGTTAAGCTAACAGTGGAAAGTTTTCGCGGTTTTCTTCTCCGTGTAACGGAAATACAGGTTAGTTCTATCAAAAGGTCTTCCACGAAGGTAAATTTCTCCCCAATACTTGATCAAGGAATTTTCATGTCTTCTTGATTGGATTCAAAATTACAAGGCTACGGAGTAGAACATTAGTAGTCGCAAACTGAAAATTATGTCGACAGTTTAATGGTGGTTTATAAAATAAAATATAATCTAAAATAAAGTTTGTATAGTGTACATTTAAATTTCTTATCCAACCCCTGTATCGAAACGTCGTTCGCTATGAAGCATAAAACGATAAGAAATTTTTTTTAAAAAGTCCATATGTTGAAATTTATTGCTGTACCTGTTTTAAAACCTTAGTGTCCTCGAATTTCTGCTTATGAAGTTGAATAAGATGCTCTGACGCTTTGACCACCGTTGCAATTGGAAAATGATTCAGAGGTAACAGCTGTGAACAAAAATGGAAGTTATTATTAATATCTTTGAGCTCATCTTACATTTGTATTATTGTTGTTACTTATGCAGCTTGCCAATATCAGAAAGTTAACTTGAAATAAATTGAATTTTTAAGACAGAGGTCGTGTTTCTATTTTCTTTCAGTGGCGCCATCTATGACCAAGAATACGAATTGAGGCACATACACGTCACAGCCCAATCATATTCCATTCATTCATTCACAGATCGTAAATTTGATCTGAACCAGAGAACTATTAATCTCCGATTCTCCCGGAGGTATTGATTTGTTGTGGGAACTTGGAAGATTTCGTGATCCCATCAGATTTAACGTGCACCATTCACCATTTAATACATGGGGATTCGTCGGCAAGCTGGACTCGAACTCCCGTTCTTAACGAACACGAGTTCAACGTCCTACCAACCAGGTTATCCCTGTCCTTTCATCTTACATTTATAAAATAAATACAAGATAATAACACAACAAATTCACACTGAAGAAAGAAGAAGCAGCAATTAATAATAATAATTATGTAAGACAAAACCCCTTTCGTTAATTCTAATTATGCTTTCTACTGCGGTTTTATTAGTGCTAAGATGTATAACGTTCTAAGAAAACTAATAAACTGGTAGAATAATTTCTAAAAGAAATACAAAATCTCACCGCTTTAAAATTCAAGTTATTTCAAAAAAGTCTTGACTATATTTTGCACCACTAAAAATTAAGGGAAGCATCCTCTGTCTTAAATTCGCTAGGTTTCACCAAATTAAGTTGATTGGCTGGCTGGTTAATTGACAAGTGACATTAGAAACAACAACAACAATTAAATTTGTTTCTTATTAAATATGGTCTTTTTTATTCAATGCACCTCTCTACCTTGAAACATTCTGCTAATATATATGTATGCTGTGATATATATATATATATATATATATATATATATATA